GAATCACACATCAAGTAACACTTGATTTATACAGTCTCTAAAATAAAATGTTTCTCAAAAATGTTAGCCTTGATCATTAAGACCCTAAATAAGGAGGGCTAAATTGCTCTTGCAAATAAAAAAAAAATGCAGGTGCAATCAGGGAATGTGTTGCAGTGGATCTACTACGATTGTGTCCAAAACTGATAACAGGTGCAAACGTGTTGCAGACCAGCAAATTTAAATGAGGCTTTTGCATGCGCCACTGACTGTAACCATGGAGAGTCTGGGGAGTAGATTGTTTTTAATCTGCCCCTCCTAAAGGCAGCCACAATGTGCAACAGCAATGTGCACACACTGCTGGTAGGATCCTTAGATGGAGAAGAGAAAAGACTTGGTGTGTAATAAAAATAAATCAGATAGATAACTTAGTCACAAACATAGCGGTAGCTATTGGCATTTGGATTGTTTCAGCTGTCAGAACAATTCTCAATATTATCTCTAAAAAAACCACAGAAACACTGCTTTTTTATTAAGGGGGCAATTTCTGTTTTGCGTACTTAGTTATTAAAATCAATATTGCAGCGTTTAGTTATAAAAAGCAGAGGTAATTGCTGAATGAATGCATAAGAACGAAAATGAGGCTTTGTTTTTTACGATGATCATCATTGCTAATACAAAAAATAAATACGGTAACAAGAAAGACAGTTTTACTGAGTCTTGTGGGTTTAAGCACCACACATCACCGATATGTTAACAATGGGATAATGAAATATAGAGAGTGTCATGGTCTTGTTTCTGTTGTGCTTTACTTTGCTCCATGTTTCCTAGTTTTATTGGTTTAATTCCTTTTTTGTTGTAATTCCTAGATTTATGTTAGTTCTCATGTTTTTCTCTTCTCTGTTGCCCTCTTGTGTGTGTGTTCCTTTCCCCTTGGCTCCCTCGTGGTCTCCTCTCACACCTGCTCCTTGTCAGCTCGTTAGCCCTGCCTTTGTCTCAGTCAGCTACATATGCTCTCCCTCTGGTCTCACTCTTTGTTGGTTCCTTGTCTTTGCTGTCTTCCCATGCTGTCGTCTACCTCCCTCATATCTCCCTGGTTCCTCGTGTTTGGTTTACATTATTTATTGGATTTTTGGTTTCCTGCTTTTGTTTTCTGTTTTATCATCATTAGAACTGCAAGAAATCTCCTCAGCCTTTCTACCTCTCCATCTGGGTCCTCAAACCTCAACCAAACCTTGACAGAGAGAAGAAAGTTTTCAATAATAACTATGATGGAGCACTGAAATCTTTCATTCAAATGCAAGAAAATGTCGTTTTTTCCAGCAGATTATAGAACATATGGCATAGTTTATATTAGTTTATCCAGATAGACGTATGTCCCTACAATTTGTACAACATAATGTACAACAAAGCAATCAAGGCAGCATTTGTGATTATAAAATAGATATTTTACTGGGAGATTCAGTGGTGCAGTGGGTAGCACTGCACTATGCAGCAAGAATATGATTGCAGGCATCCGGGTTTCAGGTTCGATTCCTAGCTCAGGGTCTTTCTGCATGGAGTTTGCATGTTCACCCTGGGCATACGTGGGTTCTCTCTGGGTACTCTTCCTCCCACAGTCCAAAAACATTACTATTAGGTTAAATGGCTTCTCTAAAGCGTGATTGTGTTGTCCTGTGATGGACTGGAGACCTGTTCAGGGTGTACCCTGCCTCTTGCCCATAGACAGCTGGAGATAGGCACCAGCACCCCTTGCGACCCTAGCTGGGATAAGCGTGACGGAAAATGGATGGATGGACTATTTTACTTAATCTTTTATTAATTCTTAGCATTATATAATTATATTATATTCTATAAATATGTTGCCCGGAAGTTAGTGAGGAATCGAATAAAATCATATTATAAACCTGTATTTATAAAACTGGAGCTTAGGATTAATCATGAATAATTAGTTACTTGAATAATCCTCAACTAATTTAGTAATCGTTTAATCGTCACATGGAATTTACAGACTCTAAAACATGGCTTTATCTCACAGAGCAACCCACCTTGAGCAGTAATTGCACCGAAATTATAAAAAAAATTTAAACATTTGCATTTAAGATAAAGAAGAGTTTCCACCCGTCAATATGTTCTATACAGAACTCCTCTAGTGCAAAAGGTTAGGTACACCTGCTTTCATTTTGTAAAAAATTTTCTTGAAGTAACCTTTGGCTATCTAAGTATTAATTGATTAATAGAAAAAATAATCGACTGATTAATTGATTTGCAAAATAATCGTTAGTTGCAGCCCTAATCACATTTCAACTTGTTTTGCAGCTAAATAGCTGTAAAATTACAACAGTGGCTGATTTTCATCCTAAACATCTTGTGTTTAGTAGTAAAGGATTGTTCTGAGAGAGAGCAGATAACCCATAACCTGTCCTTCCTCTGGTGAGATCTATTCATTGTTCTGGTTTGTGTCTTGGTCTTATCACCATGGCTACGGTTTACAGCATTCTTTATCCCCAAAGACACAGCTCCTATAGCAACAAAGGTTTCAAGACACAGTGAAACAGACCTGGCTCACTGAGTCACATTTCAGACTAATTATTTAGATTTTTATATTCTTTAATGTGACAAACAGACTTACAAGATGAACAAAAAAGTTTGGATTAAATATATAATAACAATAAAAATTAAACTAGATGAAATAAACAACCATTACAACCAACGTTCATATATTCTGAAAATGAACAGTACCTAATAGTACCTATAATTATGTTATATGTTATCATTTACTGTTATGTTCTTAAGAATATAGAATTTTATATAAACCTCTGAATAAATAGATGATACTAAAAGAAAACGGAAAAATAACTTTCTTTGTCAGAGAATGCAGCTAACTTAATAGACATAACTATGTAAATAAATAACTGAAGCCTGTTGTTTCCATAAAAGAATGTAAATACTGGTTTGTTGCAGCGTTTTTATTTTCTGTAGAGACACGACAGCAAAAAGAAAGAGGATTAACAGTAAGTCTCACCTGCCCTTTGCAGCTGCCTCCGGTACAGCTATGTGTCGTGACATTCTAGTGCCATCTAGTGGTGTAAAAACGCCAATTACCTATTTTTTTATTAATCTAAAGTTAAGTCAAAGTTATTAATCTAAAGTAAGTAAGTACCTGTTTGTGCTTACCCTTACTCCCACATTTGTCAGGGCCACTTCCCGAGAAGTGAACCCATTTGGTAAGCAGGTAGCGAAGCATTTTACACTCCAGTCTGCCACATCATTACATCATTACATCATACATGTTTGCAGATGAGTAGGCATCCATGGTTCCAGCCTTATCAAAATATTACACTTTGTTCTTAGCTGAAGGACACCACTCTCATTCCATACCCAAATCTTTGCCAAGTGTAGAATGAAAATTATAACTGTATCCTTACAGAGTAACTGTCTTAATTATATAAACTACTGGGGAAAACATCAGTTCCTACAGGCAACAGGCAGCTAATATTAAGGCGTGATAAACTCACACATAATCAATGATAATTATCCTAACATGTTAACACCGTTCATCCATGCATTTTCTCCAAACAAGCTGCCTTCTAAGCTGAACCTCTAAGCACAGCCCTTCCTCATTTGCAGAATGAGGCAGAAATGCAGAAAGAAAAGTCAAATCGACAGGCAGAAATAAATAGCATTGAAGAATAAATAGGGTAAAATCACAAGGGAAGAATAAAACAGAAAAAAATATTATAACATGCACATTATTAAATACTTGAAAACATAAGTAATTAATAAATAAAGTTGAAGAACATAACGGGCAATACATAAATAAGGTCATTATTACAAAGGCGAATAAATTAAGTAGCCAATTAAAAGAGATGTCTCAGTGTATAATAAAAATTTGTACCTACATTTATTTGTTTATTGTATTTTTGGGGGCAAATAATTGTATGCCTATTTTTTTTATTGAGCATTTATTTATGCATTTATTTATAAATATGGTAGATCTGGTCCTCCATTGTAAAGAAGAGGATTAGGACACTGAAAAAATAAATAATTGATTTATTTTAGTTTAATATGGGAAAAAGTCAGAATTTAGACTTTAATCTCAGAATTCAGACCTTTTTTCTCAGAATTCTGACTTTAATATCAGAATTCTGACTTTTTTCTAAGAATTCTGACTTTAATCTCAGAATTCTGACTTTTTTCTAAGAATTCTGACTTTAATCTCAGAATTCTGACTTTTTTCTAA